GAAATAATTTTTGATGAACTTTTCAATTACTTGAATAATAGTTACAGCTTTTCTTGTTGTATATCATAGTTGATAGTTTTTTGACATTATATGATTTGAGATGTTTTTTTCATTGATTTTAGCGACATCTAAAGCAATAGATGACCTCGATTTTATACCTCACACAAAGTCAACTATAATGTACAAAAAGAATGCATAAGTAGAATAAATGCTCAAAATTATGGAGGCAGCATCTGTCCTCTCTTTTAAGGGTGGTCCTCACCCCACTACTTTAAGAGGAATAGAGTTAGGGAATCCCAATGCTAGTAGCAAAGATTCCCCCTCACCCCCCCAACCCCCGCAGGGGACATTCAGGCAAATTGTCCTCTCAACTAGAAGTCTAGAACTATAACTTTTAGCCTCTATTTGTCTACTATTTTTCACAAATTCATTTTCAATCAAACATTTTAGAGCTCGTTTGGTGCACATTAAAATGAGAGAATGCATTTTTTTGTAGTAATATAATAGGGAATATGTGGTTGAAAAAGAAAGAAAAATTATTGACGTGATAAAAAATATTATTTTATTGAAGGATGTGTGGTTAAAAATGAGTAGAAGAATGAGAATGAAGAAAATAATGTGGATCAAACAGGGGCTTAATTTAAAAAAATTTCATACTTTTTAACCACACATTCTCAAAAAAATGAAATACGTATTTTTCCCAAAAAAAAAAAAACTCTTTTAATGGACATCAAACATGGGTTTACATTCATGGAATATAAGGACAATTTTGATGCTTTACTTTTTGCTGAAAAGTTGAAAAATACTCAGTTTTTCAATTATTTGAAAAACACATCATTTTCATTAAAAATTAATATTTTACAATTTACTTAATATAAAATATTTTTTTTTAAAAAAAACCTCATTTTCATTTAAAATCATATATTTCAATTTCTAATTCGAAAAGAACATTTTTATGAGGCACATGTGGGTAACACATATTAGCGTGTTACTTGTAGAGTAACATTAAAATATT